AGGAACATCCCACCGCTGCCACCATTGAATGTTACGTGTTTATGATGTTAAATAATAAAAGGGATGATACGTAACAATCAGTGAGTCTATTGATGCTGGGTGAATGAGGAGAAGACGCATATGCTTGATAAGTGAAACAAAAAAGTATTTATTAATGGATAATTTCAAACAATGAATGTAAGATAGAAGATAAATGTAATTTGTAAATAATTGAATCAACTAAAGAAAAATAGGAGTGTTGCCAAAACAAAGAAATAAATATAACAAAACGAACTAACTAAACCCCAACCCACTAAACTGACTGAACAAAGAAAAATGTAGAAACAAAACCGTAATCTTCAGCACGTAGCTTAACTAAACTTCTTAACTTCCAAACACAAGTACACATGTGGCAACGCCTCCAAAAACTAACTAATACAAAATTTTACTAAGCTGCTCGAAATGCTATTATTCTCGTAAAGTACACACTGTTAGCCATTAGCAAAACAAGATCTCAGGTAATCCAATTCTCATACAGATCGTTCAAAATCTCACTAAACATTCACAAGAGCAGCACAAGTTTAACTGATAAATCAGAATAAACAGGTAGAAAACTAGAAAATAGCACTCGCAAACAAATCAAGCGGATCAATCAAACAAACAGTCCGGCCGACACAAGTGAGGAGATTGGCAGGCCAAGCGCTCCTCCAGAACAGCGCAAGCGCACCGGTTTTATACTGCGCGGACCCGATCCTTATTGGCGCGCCGATTTAGTGACGAAGGTGAATGACAGCTCACCCGACCAATGGTAGCACACCTGAAACAGGATAGGACCACAACGAGAGAGAGAGAGAGAGAGAGAGAGAAGAGCGCAGAGCAGAAAACAAAAATACTACAAAACATACGTGAAACGTAACAGTGGTAAAATCTGAAAACACGGTAAAAATTAAGGGGGTTTTCTTTTTTAGATTGCTTTTCAAAATACTGTTGGTTGGGTTTAGGGAAGTGGGTGGTCGCTGATCAATTGGTGCTTTTTAAAACACTATCGGTTGGGTTTAGGAAAGGATGTAGGTGGGGGGATCCGTCGGTTGGTCAGTCAGTCAGTGGACAGCGGCGTCTGGTAGATTTATGCGAGAAGAGCAGGTTCGAATGGCACTCGTAAGAAAAATATGAGGTCTTGAAAAAAGCATACACAGTGCCCTTTAGTGGATTTGCGGGAAAATAAAAAAACGTAGTTCTTGGGATGTATTTGGCGCTCTCCAGAAATGTACATAGGGGTACGTTTTCAGAATGAGCCTTTCAGAACGAGGTTGAAAAATGTCCTCGTAAGGTCAACATTTACTGGTATTGCTATAGTTGTGAGGACCACATGATTAGTAATAACACTACATTTTTAATTTGTGGGAATATTTTTGGTCTCCATGTCAAAACAGCTGATAAATCATACAGAATATGAAGTGTTTTGAACATGTAAAAATTCTGATTGTTTCCTGTGAACGTTAGATTTTGGGATAGCGTAATAGAATATACAGTCTAGTGTAAAAATCGTTATGTCTGTGGGAAGTCCCCACGAAGATAAGTGTATGTATTTATGTGTTCATACAGGGAATTGTTCCATACACAGTGTTATCCAGACAGCACCACAGCTGTAGCTCAGCCCAAACATATTTTCCCTTTATTTATCTGTATGAGGTACACATGCGCAGACAGGCAAAAAAAAATAAAAATCACACATGCTTCCATGTTTCTCCCTGACCCAGGTTACTGTCTTGTAACACTGCAGTCTGTGTTTTACGACAAACTGTAATGAGTTCCAGGATGTGTTGGACGCTGCTAGCATTAGCCTACTTCTGCATTAACCCCTTCCTCCTACGCATATCCTCAATCCACCCCACATTAAAGCCCCTTAAAAGCACAGCATTCTTCCATCATCGGATTCTTTCTCTTGAGCTCACCAGCAGGGAGAAATTCATGAGCTGAGAGCCGCACGGTTGCAGCTAAACAAAGTTCCCTGCATTATTCATGCGATCATTCCACTAGGGTTTTTGGAACAGGTCATCATAATTCTTTTCCATCCCGTGTAAGCCTGTAGCTATATGGACAACATGTCCATTTCATGTTCTCTGAGGAGCTCTGCTTTTAGTGTTTGTGTGTACGTGCTATACGCTCTCAGCAATTTCTGAACTGGGTCTCAGGGTATGACCGGTGATTAGGTAATAAGCACTTTTCCTTCATAGCCTTTTTTTTCATGATTTCTCTGTTTTCCATCCCTCTCTATTCCCATCAGCCTTCCTTCCGCCTCGTTTGCTTGCTCTGCTCGGACATGACTTGAGGATTTACTTTCGCGTCTGCTCCACAAACACATCTTTTGTTTTTCTGTCTGTCGCTGATGTTCTCTTTCAAATCATGTCCCTCCTCACCACACTTCCCCCTCTCCTTGCTTTTCCAGTTCTCCTCCCCATTTGCTCTCTTTCAAAAGAGTCTCATATTCGGTGTTGTACATACTGAAGAAACTGAGGGTAACAGTAATATGACAGTGCCAGCAGATATAAGTATACACTTGAGCTTGTCAACGTCAGAACAATAAGTGAGAGATGGTGTTATGTACACACTGCAGGTATTGCTGGATCCTGTATTAAGGGGCTTCGGCTTGTCTGTTTTTCATCTCAGTACAAGCTAAAATCTGCAGCTACTACTGTAAGATGATTAATGATGTTTCTTATTTTTGATCTGATTGTGAATGATGATCAATGCTTGGCTGTTTCAGGTTTTTGATAAAATAATACATTTTCAGGAACATAAATTGCACAAAGGGTTGTGCTATGTTAACAGAAAATTATAAAATATGTTTTTTTATGTAAACAACAATAAATAAACTGTTCTTTGTGAGTCCATAAATAAATAAATGTGGCATTAAAGCCACCAATAGGTGGAGGAAAATTCCTGTCTTAATGAGTGATCCATTAAATTGCTCATTCCAACGTTTTTTTCAAATATTTTATGAACAATAAATGCACTTATTACTTTATTTAATTAGTCTTTATTAATGAAACAATGAACCAATAATTTTTTCAGTTTGTTTAATCAGCTGGTCATGTCAGTTAGCGTTTCTGTGTGGAGTTTGCATGTTTTCCTCATATGCTGGATAAGTGGGCAGTTCATTCCGCTTTGAGGACCCAAGATTAATAAAGGAACCAAGCAAAAGAACCATAGTCAAGTTCCTGGCCAACAGTATTTTTCCCTTATAAATCAATTCGTCAATAGCCACAAATGAGCGGGGGAGATCTTGAGATCTACCTGAGCTCAATCTCCCCTCTCGCCCTCCAAACGGGTGGAAGCCCAGGGCTCGAGGATCTTTTGAACTCAGGGCTCTCTCCCGGGACAGCATGCCAAACAAGCTTATAATCAAGCATCAGCTAAGTGTGAACTGTTGATATTGCTATTATTTTTGGTTTGGTGTAAAAGATGGGGTGCTTGATACTTTTTTACTCGGTTGACTCAATAAATAATAAGAATAAATAAACCATACTGAGTATTTAAATATTTGTATATTTATGTTTGTAAGCACATCATTCATTCATTTTTCTTCTGCTTAGTTTCTTATTTATTAGGGGTCGCCACAGTGGAATGAATCGCCAACTATTCCAGCATATGTTTTACACAGCGGATGCCCTTTCTGCCACAACCCAATACTGGGAAACACCCATACGCTCTCACATTCCCACACAGGCACACACACTCATACACTATGGCCAATTTAGTTGATCCAATTCACCTATAGCTCATGTCTTTGCACCCAGAAGGAAACCATAAGACGAAGTGCAAATGAGGCGATGCGAATGACATAACGTGAGTCATTTGTAAAGGTCAAAATCATACACTGCCTTACATTTTTTTTTAAGATTTATTTTTTTGGCCTTTTTGCCTTGACAATAATTAACAGTATTGTGACTTTATTGAGACGGGAAGCGAAGTGGGAGACAGAGTGGGTGGTATGGTAGGGAAATGTCCTCGAGCCAGGATTCGAACTCGGGACGCCCTGACGTGCTACTGCACCATATGTCGGCGCGCTAACCACTATGCTATGGACCATTTCAATTGGATGTAAAAGCAGGCTCACACATTGTTTTTTTATTATAATCCTAAACAATTGTTGCATACTGCACAAACATGGCTCCAATGTCACACTGTAAGATCTCAGCTGTCATAATGTTTGACTAAATGACAATAAAGACACGCCAAACACAGAATAAAACTTTTTAGTTTGACGTCATCCATCCGTGACACTTTCGCGTTCTGAAATGATTACTAACAGCAAACATAAACAATCTGTAGCGGCAATTTTGCACACAGCGCACCTAATAATACCAGGAAGAAAAACAAACTGTGATATTTGAATTGTCTCATGGATTGCGTCATCAGATTCTGCGCTTCTGTTGGTTCTTGGATTGACGCTCATCACAGCTGTTGTCACTGCAGGAAAGTCTCTGAAATCTTCTGACACTGACAGAACTTCATCGGAGGAAAAATCTGATCGCAATGAGCACTAAGCGGCTGTCAGTGAACATGTCAAACCAACGATCAAAGATCACAAATTTCAGCCTAGGATTTCAGGAATCTTTTAGGATTTTCCAAATTTGTCTCAGGTGACAAAATTGTGGCTAAAAATTGACATTGTGAGCTAGGCTTAAGTTACAATATTTTTGTTTCATGACCCTAACTTCTGAATTTAATGAGTGATTGTTCATTCCAATGATTTGTTCAAATAGCTGATTCATTCAAAAAACAAAGCAAACTGTCTTCATGAATGAAGCAACGATTTGTTAAAGTGTAGGAACATTTTTCATTGGTGAAGCACACTTGATTTTGCACATTATTATTCTTTCTGTTTAAATGACTATTATTCTCTGTTTAAGATCTGGTGCTTGATATACTCTTAGTTTCAAGGCATAGATTGTTTTTGAAGTATTTCATCGTGTTGTAGAAATCTGACCTTTTGTTTCTTTTTTTATGTCGTACAGGCAATCCTCGGATCCAAAGAACTGGCGGAAAAAGTAAGTTGTTTATATTAAGTCAACAGAAAAATCACTTATTTCTGTTTGCCATCAATAGCAACAGGCAGTCCCAATTATGAAGCTCTAAACCTGACAAAAAGAAGTGCGGCCCCTGCTGAATCCACAGAATAGCTGTAGAAATTCAGTTTAATTGGTAAGTAAATTGCTGCGTGCTGAGTTGCAGTGGGAATATGGAACAAAATCAATGCCAAAAGTCTTGAATTAAAAAGCTTGTTGAATATCACAAACTGAAAAAAATAATACACCGTATTAACAAGTTCTTGCATTTTTATGACTTGAATTCCAGGGTTTGTATTTTTAGGTCCTGAAATTTAACATATCTGTATATTTAAGCTTTGAATATTTTAACAAAAAATATTTCAAACACGTTTTCAAACTTAAAAATTCAATAATTCATATTCAATTTTCAGATTTCACTTACAAAATATTCAATACCCTTTAAAAATTCGATGTATAATATTCAAAAGGTAATTTTCAGTTCATTTTATTTCAGTTGAAATATTCGCTTCCATAAATTCAGTGGATCAAATTCGACTGTTAAAATTCAACATTACATCCGGGAACTGCAGGAAAAGCAATAGACTGCAGAGTGAAGATCGCCAGCTGCTCTAGCTTTCACCAGCAGGTGGAGATGGAATAATGTAAGATTTTTAACCCAGTAAACAGGCGATAAAAAGGCTATTAAAGGCACAAAAGTAGCATTTAATATTAATATCAATGCTTTGGACATTATAAATGATAAAAAGTATGAGTAAAATGAGTAAATGAGGTTTTAGTCATCTATATTTGCCCTTATGTAACGGAAGCCAGCTGGTGATCGCGTAAAGCTCACTCCTCGGATCCAGGGACAGTTGTTCTGCAATCTTATCGGAGCTTGTCTCCCATGCTGGCTCGTTACCTGCTCGGACCGGTTCGGTTACTTGCACATAAACCGTCTTTTGATGAATATGATGTTACACATTGTCTATCTTTATTGACTCTTTCTTCCATACACACTAAGTATTATATTGACAGCTAAAGAATATAAACGTAAGAGAAACAGGAGAGGAAACATTATAATAATACAAAATAGATAAACATTGACAGGGCTAAGAACAATTACGATCAAAGATTTTCAAAACCAGAGAGATTTTATGAGAATGTCACACAAAACAGTTTACTTGGAAATGTTAAACAGAGTTCAGGTATGATTTAAGGTTGGTTATGGATGGGGCGTGTAATTTAAAATAATTTAACATAACGTGCAAATGCATTAAAGGGACGTCTTCAGTTATTATTTAAACGCAGCTATGTCAGGTATGGGATAGGTTATATAATTTCATTATTTAAATTATGATTGTTAATATTAATATTTTATGACATGTATTTGGGCTATTGCGCTTAAATAAGTCATCCGTGATTCTAAATTAATATTTCTATTCATCCTTTTTAGCTATCACTTTGCTATCGTCTTTCTCTTCTTTTTGTCTATTTTTTATGGTTCTGCCACTGTTACGTTTGCAAAATGTCTTTAGTTTGTTTAGATTATTGCTTTTCCTCTAAAATAGAGACGAAGCAGAAGGAAAATGAATGAATTGATGAATGAATGAAATGATTGACGTTTTTATGCATGTGCTGTGTGGCTTGCGCACGACAAAGACGAACGAGTGGCCGCGAGCTCCGGTGGCCGGTCAGAGCCAGCGCCGCATATCAAACTGGTTAAGAAATGCTGGATGGCTGCCAATATATGATAGGAATTCTTCCGAAGTTTCAGATGATATCTGGGCTTGTGCATAATAATGTAAAATAAAAGTGAAAGTCATGACATTTGGCCAAGCATAAGAATAGCCTACAAGAGTGTTTCGATTATTATCATGACATGTCATGCTTGGGCTTATATGAATAACACCTCGCTGTTTACCATTTCCGAAAGTGGAGCTGACGTCGGCGCGAAATTGCTTGTATAATTGTAAAAAGAGTGATAAATATTAATGGATTTCTTATATCTGTCATTTCTGATAATATAATTGATTTAACTAGTGTGAGAGTATCCAACACTCATTTAGCAAAAATGCATCCAGAATCCTAAACCAATAACTTTGTCAAGCAAAAATTATGATTTTATAGGCTACTGATTTAAAAAAAAAAAAAAACAAGAAAAAAGAAACTATTAGCTACCCTAGCAATTGTTTATTTAAATATGATCATCTCAAAATATAAAATAAAAACATAATGGGTTGACTTTGTGAAATCATAAAACAGACTTGCAGAAAAGAGTTAATAAGAATAAATGAGCAAATACATTCTCTCCAGTAGATGGCGATTAAAGCTCAGTTATACCCCATGATGATGAACAGAGCTGCTTTGCAGGAACCCCTCAACCACGCATGTCAAACCACGCATTCTAAACATAATCTTATGAAACTAGCTCAAGTGACAACTATATTAAATTTAAACCAGTTTAAATAAGTTTATATGTTTAATAACTGCAAAAAAGATCAACATTGCTAATCATAAAATACAAACGGTTGCTGAAAAGTTATAAATAATGGTTTTCTCATTTAATACTGAAAACAAATTAAAGTCAGTTATAACTGCCTATTATCAAACCACAGGCGACTCATTTTATTACTTATAATTGGCTGCGACATTGCCACTTTTGCGTTAATACCTTTTTCTCGCCTATAGGCTACATAACAATAAAACAATAATCTGGACAAACTAACACATTTTGCAATCGTTTAACCATGGCAGAACCCCAAAAATTTGAAAAAAGAAGAGAAAGACAGGCAGAGTGATAAAAAGGATAAATAGAAATATTAATTTAGAATCACGGATGACTTATTTAAGCGCAATAGCCCAATTAAATGTCATACAATAATAATATTAACAATCATAATAATAATTCAAATGATGAAAATGTATAACCTATGCCAATCCTGACATAGCTGCGTTTAAACAGCGCAAACATTACTCCTTATAGTTATCCCATATTAGGCGGTTCTGTGTGAATAACTGAAGACCCTCCTTTAATGCATTCGCATGTTAAATTATTTTAAATCAGACGCCCCATCCATAACCAACCTTAAATCATAGGCCTACCTGAACTCTGTTTTGTGTGACATTCTCATAAAATCTCTCTGGTTTTGAAAATCTTTGTTCGTAATTGTTCTTAGCCCTGTCAATGTTTATCTATCTTGTATTATTATTATAATATTTCCTCTCCTGTTTCTCTTACGTTTATAATCTTTAGCTGTCAATATAATACTTAGTGTGTATGGAAGAAAGAGTCAATAAAGATAGACAATGTGTAACATCATATTCATCAAAAGACGGTTTATGTGCAAGTAACCGAACCGGTCCGAGCAGGTAACGAGCCAGCATGGGAGACAAGCTCCGATAAGATTGCAGAACAACTGTCCCTGGATCCGAGGAGTGAGCTTTACGCGATCACCAGCTGGCTTCCGTTACATAAGGGCAAATATAGATGACTAAAACCTCATTTACTCATTTTACTCATACTTTTTATCATTTATAATGTCCAAAGCATTGATATTAATATTAAATGCTACTTTTGTGCCTTTAATAGCCTTTTTCTCGCCTGTTTACTGGGTTAAAAATCTTACATTATTCCATCTCCACCTGCTGGTGAAAGCTAGAGCAGCTGGCGATCTTCAATCTGCAATCTATTGCTTTTCCTGCAGTTCCCGGATGTAATGTTGAATTTTAACAGTCGAATTTGATCCACTGAATTTATGGAAGCGAATATTTCAACTGAAATAAAATGAACTGAAAATTACCTTTTGAATATTATACATCGAATTTTTAAAGGGTATTGAATATTTTGTAAGTGAAATCTGAAAATTGAATATGAATTATTGAATTTTTAAGTTTGAAAACGTGTTTGAAATATTTTTCGTTGAAATAATTACAGCTTAAATATACAGATATGTTAAATTTCAGGACCTAAAAATACAAACCCTGGAATTCAAGTCATAAAAATGCAAGAACTTGTTAATACGGTGTATTATTTTTTTCAGTTTGTGATATTCAACAAGCTTTTTAATTCAAGACTTTAGGCATTGATTTTGTTCCATATGGGAAGAACATTGACACCTGACCCTGACAAACACATGAGATAATTTACTACTGATAGCAGACATTACACCTCAGGAATCTGGAGAGACTTTTGCTTTGTAAATGCGCTCTTCTGGCACTATGCGAGAAACCCACCCATGTTTTTATAAGCAAAACTCATGTCAGTTTGTCACCTTTCCCCCCTTCTCTGCACCCACTCAACACTCATCTTATATGACTCAGAGAAAGTAGGTACTATCTGCTTTCACACAAAACACAAAACCTCAAAATTCCAGTTTTTGAGTGGGATGTAAGTGGGGCTTATGTGGTTTTGATATGATTAACCAGGAAAAGCATTGGGTCTAAAATTGTTGTCCACCACTTTTGTTAATGTTAACTTTTTATATATACACTCATCGGCCATTATATTAGGTACACCTGTCAAACTGCTCGTTAATGCAAATGTCTAATTAACCAAACACATAGCAGCATTTAGGCATGTAGACAGCAGAAGACAACACCAGGTGACGCTCCAGTCAGCTAAGAACAGGAAACTGAGGCTACAATTTGCACAGGCTCACCAAAATTGGACAACAGAAGATTGGAAAAACGTTGCCTGGTCTGATGAGTCTCGATTTCTCCTGCGACACTCGAATGTTAGGGTCAGAATTTGGCATCAAAAACATGAAATCGTGGATTCATTCTGCCTTGTATCAATGGTTCAGGCTGGTGGTGGTGGTGTAATGGTGTGGGGGATTTTTTTTGGTACACTTTGGGCCCATTAGTACTTATTAGTACTAATAGAGCATCATCTCAATGCCACGCTACCTGCGTATTGTCGCTGACCATGTTCATCCCTTCATGACCAGGGTGTACTCATCTTCTGATGGCTACTTCCAGCAGGATAACGTGTCATGTCATAA